CGGTAACTTTTTGCCGCTGACACTTACCAGATGAAAGCAGGATGACAGCCTGTAACAGCGCCACCTCGGAGTCATCCAAGTTAAAGGTGGAAAGAGACATGCCAAGGTCAAAGATGGCGTCCGAGACGACACCCAACCCTCCATTCTTGAGCTGACCTCTTGTAACAGCCATCTCCCCATTGAGTGTGAGTGTCTCACTCTCGGGATCATAGCGAACAGCAGCTCGCAGCGACATGATCTCCATGCAGCAGCCTTTTAACAGAATGATCTGATCTTCACAAGGCAGCTGGATAAAAAGAGACAAAGGAACCTGGTGAGCAATCAGCTATTTAAACACAGATAAAAAAATCATAATAATATATTTTTTTTAAAATTAACTCAATCATTAAGATATCAGTATAATGCATTTGTAATTCCTAATTAAATTATGAACATGGTCCGTGACGAAATATCAATATCAATTTAATTTTGCACTGGAGGGAATTTTTAAAATAATTTTTAGTTTCAGACCCCAGTGCTAAATGATGCCAACTACATGCTACATGGCTATAAAGATGACATTTTTTTAATATGCAGTCCTATATGCAGGGATTCCCTATTTCTTTAGAAAAGGTTTTCAGCACATTTTTAGGATTATGCTTGTTTAAAAAAATGCACACATTCACATTATTTTAAATTTGGAACAAGGCTCTCAAAAGCATATTTTATATACAACCTAAAGGCCATAGGCTTAACCAGTAGTTCCCAATTATTTTCTGTTATGCACCCCTTAAGGGACAGAAAATCTTTTAAGCGCCCCCGAATTGAATACTATTGAGAACCTGTACAAACCACTGTATGAGTTGTTGCCACCTAGTGGCATACTTCTGTCCAGCGTGCCATATACCATTGGAAGTCCCTCACACCCAAACTCCCCTCTCCTCCGGACACCTCACCGCGCCCCCAAGGGGGCCGTCCCACTACACTAACACTTTATGACCAAGAGTTTTTCAGGTTGTCTCTAAGATCTAGGAACCTAATAAGGAACTCTAATTGACTCTTTGATGGTATATTTTCTCTTGCAGTACAATATACTATATGCACTCACCTCACAAAACATAGGCAGTTTTTTGGCAAAGTCCACAACTCGGGTTATGGCAGGGGTGATAATTTTTGTAAACTGACTAAAGGCTTCTATATCCACTTTGTTCCCTTCTGGTGTGTTAGCCATAGACGCATGACCAAATTCCTCAGGCTGAAACAAAAAAGAAGATAAGTTCAGTGTATGAACACTCTCTACCTATACCACCTGTTCAGTACACAGACTGCCACTCATCATACCTTACTGTCTAGTTTCTCCAAATTAGGTTTGGATATATAAAAACCTAGTAAAGCTAGTACAGTGGAACCTCGGTTGTCGAACCAAATTTAGAACTAAAAACGAAAGTGAACTACTTGTCATTGTGACACAGCACACCACTGCACACAACGAAATGTAACTTCTGCTTTTAACCCATCACCAAAGTAAACAGTGGGAAACTTTAAGTGTGTTGCAGTGTGTGGGGATGGTGCCTTGCTCAGAGCACCTCAGTGGTAACTTGGCAGCTGGTGGACTCAAGTCCACTTCCTTAAGCACTAAGCCACCACTGCCCCCAGATGAAGTGATTCCTAAGGGGAACGAATTAAGTTAAAAAACTGAGGTTCCACTGTAAATAAAGCTACGCAAGTATGGAAAGTATATATCTTTGTATCTTGATTATTTATACTGTTTTGTATTTGTATTATTATTATTACTATATTTCATATTTTTTATTGTAGAGTCTTTTCCTCATCTTTTGCTGCAAATTCACAATTTCCCCAGTTTGGAATCAATAGGTTTAATTTATTGTAATCTGATCTAATTTAAATATTAAGTATGATAAGAATAGAAGGCAGCCTCGAACTGTATTTATTCACACTCACTTGCCCTGTGTATCAAATAATGCAGATTAGATTGGATATGTGGCTGACACATTCAGAGTTTTTGTGTTAAAATGAAAAAAAAAGTGACTTATCTTACCTTCACTTCCTTCACCCCAGCTGCACTCTGGTCAGAAGTATAGAATAAATTACATGTTATTTCATTAAGAACCATAGCTTCCTCGACCTGTTAAATAATCAACAGGAATTGTGAAGTTTTAAGGGAAAACCTGTGTCAAGCCAACTAAGGAGAAACGTGTTAAACCTAAAGGCAGATAAAGAAAAAATCAGGAAGGAAACAGTGAAAGACAAATAAATAAGAAACAGATCCAGATGTAAAGAATGTCGTATGACATGTAAGGGCCTATTGCAGAAAAAAAACAAACAAAAAACATTTAGCTTCAGCTTTACAAATCTGAACATACCATATTTTCGCACTTCTTTTTCATCCTTTGCCTAGGTGTGTGACTTATACTCAGGTGCGACTTATACTGTATATTAAAATATTTAATTTCACGTTTGTTATTTTCACACTGACAGCTACAAAAGGGAACATGTTAATTATTAGTGGTACAAGAGTAGCAGGTACTGGTACACAAGCCTAGACTGCCCTCTAGTGCCTGTCGGGGTAAAAATAATGAACATATGAAACTATACATTTTAATATATAAAGGATGAAAAAAAGCGTCTTATAGTCCGGAAAATACGATAACAAGGGCAGTGATTCTTATTTTATTAATCTCTTATATCAGCGTAAAAGGTAAACAATAAAAGGTTGACCAATTTATAAATGACAATTGGTAACAAATTCTTTAAAAAATATATTTTTTTAAAAAACTAAGAAACTGAAACTAAGTTGAATGATCAGAGGGTTTTTACGATGGCTAATGAGGGGATAAAACTATGACATAACCACCAATGTTTACACTTTTACAACTTTAATAACTGGATCTCGGTCGCCTACAGCTAGAGAACAGCTGATAGGCTCTCAGTCTGGTTAAAATTCTTGGAAAAGAAGTAGAAATGAGTCAGTAAAAATATGGTGGAAAATTGAAAGCTGTAAACACAAGGAGAGGACGTTAAAAGATTAGTAGAGACACGAAACAGTTATGCGATATCCCATAAAAAATTAGTGCAGCTGCACTGAGAACATTTCTTCATCATCCAGCTAATTTTCTCCACTCTACAAGAGATACACAAAAACACATTTAAATGTTAACACAGAAACAGTGGCGCAGAGGCCTTGACGGTGGAAGTAGACAAGGAAAAAAGGGGGAGAGCACGGGGGGACAGGGATTAGAGGGTGTCCAAAAGGAATGACGAGAAATATGCTGCTACTGTGGACAGAGCAAGGCAGGACAAGGATGCCTCACCAGGAACTTCCTTTTTTGCTTCCAGTGGTTTCCTTGGGCGTTTGTGGCCATGTGGGCTTCAGTTACCATTCGGATCAGGTCCCACTCCTCCTGAGTGGGCTCCAGGCGATCCCACATTGTCCTCTGTTGCTCTTCCCGCCGCCGACGCTGCCGGTTCTCCTCGATTAATTTTCGCTTAGCTAACCGCTTGCTGTCATCCAGCACCACTGGAGAAAGGATAAAAAAAAAAAAAAGGATTCACGGAAACAGAAGACCACAAACTGATGATGAATGTATATGTAGAAATTCCAGTTAAAATATTCTAAAAAAATAAAAGTGTCGCTTTGGCCCAGAGGCAATGTCTCTGTCATTGGTGTGGAACCCCAGCGTTCGCCTCCTGGGCAAGTTTGAATCCCGGTTAGGGCGGTTGGCACCTTCCAGTGGACTCACCACCTGCAGGAAGGTTTGGGGGGCGACCCGGTAACGGATAAGTGGATGAAGATGGATGGATGGATGGGTGGAAGTATTAAAATTGCTTATATTTAAACAACAGGTGATATCCTTAATTTGCCAAAGGGAACTCCTGAGGTATTAATAAAGTTATTTATTTCTATCTATCTATCTATCTATCTATCCATCCATCCATCCATCCATCCATCCACAGCTGGCACTTTTTTTCGTTGGCCACAATTGTCCTAAAATCGAACAGGGGTCCTGGTCAGCAGCAGATAGAGGAAGCGTTCGTGTGAACTAAGTCATGCACAGAGGCTAAAATGCTACAATGCTTTTATCTTTTTCTATGCCATCTATTGGGGGAATGTGGGTGTTGCAGGGAAAAGGCAGAAGTATAATGATAATATAAATAAATAATTTGGATGTTTTGCGGGCCGGATTTAAAAGCTGAACAGGCTGCATCCGGCCCCCGGGCCTTAGTTTGCCTGTAGATGCCTGATCTTGAGTATTTATCCATCCATTCATCCATCCATCAGTCTGATATGTGATGTGACCTAAAAATAATTTGGGGAAGGAATGGCTGCATGCATGTTTTTACTTTCGAAATTCATCAACCTCATCAACCACACTTACAGTCAGTAGCCATTCCCACAGAAATGCACTTTTTGAAGCGACACTCCTGACACTGATTTCTGGTGACTTTGTCGATAGCACATTTTCCCTCGTACTTGCAAGCGTAGGTCGGGTTGAGATTTTTCTGGATCGTGCGCCTGAAAAAACCCTTAACAATCATGGGATTAAAAAGATGATGAGATGTCAATCTTCATTTCTTTGGAATGTTTGTAAATTCTGGAGAGGGCTCATGTTACCTTACAACCTTCACAGGTGATGCAACGGTAGTGATAGCCTGTAGCTTTATCCCCGCACACTACACAGATCTCATCTTTGTCCAGGTAACGTGGTACATAACCTGGGGGAAGAAAACATCATTCATTTAAGAGGGTATTCCAGAAGGATGCGTTTATGTCCTTATTTTACATGTTAAAATGTATTTAATGCAAATGTATTGTATTTAAAGTCAACTTAAAAACATTTGGATTATAATTAAATCAAAGGACTCAAGGACTAAAGGTTCTTTATTGTCATTGCAACACATGTTAGATATGGGATGAACGAAATTAGTTTCCCTGGTCCCGGCTCGAGTACAAGTGACTGAGAGGAATAGTTCAGCGTAGTGCAAGAAGAGAAAGAGAAAGTGGCGATTGTGCATGAGTGAAAGACAAGAACAAGAACAAGAACAAGAACAAGAACAAGAACAAGAACAACAGCCCTGGTCAGGGCAACAAGAGCGACGAATGTGGGGACAATAGTTGTGAGGCCATGTGCAGGCCCCCATATTTTCTGTTGTTGGGTGGTTGTGGGGGGAGGGAGGGTATTTGGCAGAGTCAATGTGGAGGGTACGGGGGGTTACAGGGGTTCACCGGAGTTCAACAGTCTCACAGCCTCAGGGAAGAAGCTGTTCCTCAGTCTGGTGGTCCTGCTTTTGATGCTCCGTAGCCGTCTTCCTGAGGGGAGGCGGCCAAACAGAGCATTTGCGGGGTGGATGGGGTCCTTCATGATGCAGGAGGCCTGTTTCCTGCATCTGGTGGCGTAGATATCCGTGGCGGTGGGGAGCCTGTGTCCCACGGTCCTCTGTGCAGCCTTAACCACCCTCTGCAGAGCCTTATTCTCTGCAGCCGGGCAGCTGCCGTGCCACACAATGATGCAGGGGGACAGGATGCCATCCACCACACATCTGTAGAAAGGGGTTAGGACTGAGCTCCCCAGTCCAGCACGCCTCAGTCTCCTCAGGAAGTAGAGGTGCTGGTGCCCTTTTCTGATCAGGCAGGAAGTGTTGGTTCTCCAGGTGAGGTCACTTCCACCTCTGTCCCTCTAATGTGCAGGGGAGGGGGGGTGTCTCCCCCTTCTGAAGTCGATGATCATCTCCTTGGTCTTCTTCGCGTTGATGCAAAGGTTATTTTCTATACACCAACCCTCCAGATGTTCTACCTGCTGCCTGTAGTTGGACTCGTCGTTGGCTGTGATGCGTCTGACTACGGCTGTATCATCCGCGAACTTCACAATCAGACAGCTCGGATGTAGTGCTGAGCAGTCGTGTGTGAGCGGGGTGAATAAGAGGGGGCTCAGCACGCAGCCATGGGGGTAGCCGGTGCTGAGCATGATGGAGGAGGAGGAGACGCCATGGACCCTCACAGACCCAATGCAGAGGGTGGAGCTCAGTCCAAGAGTGTTGAGCTTCTGTATCAGGGTCCACAAAGTCTACAAAGACCAGGCGTACATAGGAGTCCTTCTCCTCTAAGTGGGTGAGGGTTGTGTGAACTACAGAGGAGATGGCGTCCTCTGTGGATCTGTTGTTCCTGTATGCATACTGGTGTGGGTCCTCAGTGACGTCGATGGAGTCCTTGATGCGGGCCATGACCAGTCTTTCGAAGCACTTCATGACTATCGGTGTGAGGGCTACCGGCCGATAGTCATTCAGGTCTGTCACTGTGGACGCTTTGTGGATAGGGATGATTGTGGCAGTCTTCTGACTTCAGTGTTACAGAGTGGGAATTATACATAAGCATTAAGGTTTTCCAAGTATTTGTCAAGCATATTATAAAGTAAAAAAGGTGGGGGTTTGCAGTAAACACAGAAAAAAAATTGCACAAGATGACAAAGAGGTACAACAATTTATCGTCAAAGTGTTTTCGATTAAAACAAAAGGTTGAATATTATTTGGTAAACTTTTGAAATAAAAACTGTATAGGATTGAGCCGTCACAAACTTTATGTAATTCTCTCTTTCACGCACAAACACGCGTAACAACATACACACTGAAACACACCCAAGAAAACCCAATTTGTGTGCGAAAAAAAGTATATACATTTTCAATCAATTTTAATATTCTCTTTAAGAGAGATCAATAAGATCCTGATGTTAAATACCGGAAGTTAGCCAGTCAAAAAAATCCTTGTTTCATAAACAAATACAGTGCTGAATTGATACAATAATCAATCAAGCTAGTACAGCTAGCTTGTTTAACGACGACTTGGAGTTACGACAGGCTTTCCGAATTTTAAAAGTACACATTTAGCGACAAGGAATTGCTGTTATGACGAGTGGAATGCATCGGCAGAGGAGTTGTGTGAGAGTATTACATATTGACGTGCATACGTACGTGCACATTTAGTGTAGTGACGTATGAGAGTTGGGATTTAGCACAACAGGCAGCGGCAGCATCTCTAATCTCACCTACTCACCCACTCAGTTATAAGTCTCTTGTGCTGCCAAACAGTACAAATTACAAATACAATTAATAGGACAATTTCATCCCGTCATGATGTCTGGAAAAAATAAGACTACAACTTCTCCTGATGGATTTGCTCTTAAGAAGCAAAGGAAATTGATTGATCCAGATATAAAAATGAAAATACTTAAAGAGTATGGGAGGGGCAGGGGGGTAAGATCACTTTCAACCATGGTTTAGGACAAAACCAGTAAAAAGTAAAGTAAAGTAAAAGAAAGGGCAAATTTGTCAGGGGTTTCGTTTAACGACTGGATCATTGGTATGTAACTCCGTCGTTACATGAGGACCAGCTGCAATCAATCAATAAACGATGATCATCAAATGTTACTTCACAAATATTTTTGATTTGGATTTATGTTGACCAGTCTTACACTACAAATTCCAAGCATCGCTGATACACTGATAGACACATTTTCATTAAGTAGAAACACAAACAAACAAAACAAAATGCAACTTAACGCAACTACTGAGAAGACAGAAACAACCAACACACCCAGGACTTCTACCTTTTTTAAACATGCCCTGCATCCACTGTGAGAGGTCAGCTTTGAGCTCAGGAAAATACTCCGGCTGATGGTGCCAGTGGCTAGGGGGCATCTCTATGTTGCAGGATTCACTATCAAATAGAGACGTGCCGTTGTCGTACATGCACATGTAGTGCTGGCTGGGCAGCCAAGGTTGCTCCATGCAAGGGGGATGGTGCAGCCGCTGGGGCTCACAGTGGCCAAAATCTGGCCCCTCACCTGGATATGACCAGGGATCCACAGAGGCCTGGATGGAGCTCCCCATACTGACATGAGGGATCTCACATGTGTCTGATATGCAATAGTTCATTATGGACCACTGTACGTGAGCACCAGAAAGAGATCCTTCTTGGAAAAATAAAAAAATAAAAACAGAGCCTAAAGTGACACAATTGCCAATAGGTTGACTCACGTAAACCTATCACCGAACACTATATAGACCGTGTAACTGACCCGTGGTAGTCCAGCTGAAGTGAGAAGCAGAGATTTCTGAAGACTAGGAGCTCTAATCTTGTATTCCACAAATCCCTGAGGTTCCACAGACAGATGATGTCACTGATTAGGATGGTGTGTTGCACACGGTAAAGACCCTCCTATAACATTCACACAAGTGGAAAAATCCGTCACTGAATCGAATTCAATTTAATCATTTTATAGTAGATCTTTCCTTTCAGAACCATCGGCTGGATTACTGCCTTGCTGTCAACCAATGACCGTTGCATATTTGCTCTCCTACTTCAACTATCAAGTACGTATCAAAACAATAGTAAACATGAGCTTGTGCTGTTAATTACAGAGAAGGTTATGACATGAAAGGTTATGAGTTCACAAAAAATCCTGGTTCTTACAATTTTTTTACAAGACTACACTAATTGGTTAATTGGCACAGTGGCAAAATTACAGCTGAGCAAATGCGGCTAGAGAGACTTTATTTACAAAATGTCTTTAAAAAATATTTTGGCTTAATTTTATATTTTCATGACATTTTTCTTTACAACTACGTACAATGGTTGTAACTAAGTGACAATGTTACTGTATTTGTGTTACATTTTTTATTATTACTACTATACTGAAACTTTATTATCAGGAATAATATTAACTCCAGAAGGATTTATAGTCATAAAATCTATCTATCTATCTATCTATCTATCTATCTATCTGTCTATCTACCCAAGTGATTACTTACAATTATTACAAAATTCTCAAGAGTTGCAAATCCACAATTCTGTGCAAACAATGTTTTGTGTGCATATATCATTGTTTCCCCTCTACGCTGCTTTTTTAAGTCCTTTTCCTAGAATGTAAAGATAGAATCCCATTCTTAGCACAATTAATGATGCTCAACAAATTTCCCTTGCCCTTAAGCCTACTATCAGTAGTCCTTAAATTTAATGATGCCAAACACCAGTATTTCATATCAAATATCTGAGATACCAAATAAAATAAATCATTATATTTTCTATATAGAATACAATGATGTATTTCATTTTTAGTTAATTTAGAAAGCTGATTAAAAGTACATGTAGCATGTTGACTCTATATTAGACAGTGGAGAGCTCATATTAATGATGCACAACAAAATATCACTGCATAGCATACTAATAACAGGTTAACATGATACTAATTTAAATGCTGGTGTGTTTCTGGTTATTAGTTTTGTGTGTTTGGACCTTAAGAAGCTAAAAGAAGTACATATTGTGACAGAAGTCACGTTAGTTTTGCTTTGATTGGTGCATTAAAAACCAGTCTAAACTAAAATCAATATCCTTAAAAATCAATAGTCTCTCGTAAAATGTCAAACGACATGAGTGACACATTGCATGTTATGTCCCAGATGATACAACAGTTGACCCTGACATGGTTTTAACACAGACTTATTGATCGGGGCTCCTATTAATAAGTCAGGATAAGCCTTGTGCTGAATATTATTGATCTGCTGGGGTTTAGCCTTACAACTTATACGAAATGACATTCATATCAACAATTAATATTTATTTATTATTTAAGTATAATGTCATAGAACACTTCTTTTGTGCAAAAACTAAGCATACTTAAACTGACCCAATAAATGAATGTAAGATTTTATGAAAATGTATATTTGGGTATCAGTAGTTGAAACAGTTACTAAACTGAAGATCTACACATCCACTGACTGGATGGTAGAACAACACACTATGAAAGTCACAGAGCCTGTTGTATGATAGTCTCTCAAAAAAGAGCGACATAAATTACTAATAACACAGTCAATAAATAAGCGAGTATAATGATCTGGGTTGACTATTATACATGTATGCATACATATATTTATAAATATAATAAAATATAGTATTTAAATATAGAAATATATATCTACATATATATGTATAAATATTCTCTATATACGCATATATATGTCTATATATGTGTATACGCATACATACACATACACAAATATGCATATTTCTGTACAGGGGTTGGACAATGAAACTGAAACGCCTGGTGACCAAAGGTTTGGCTATAGCAGCCTGGCCATGAATATTGACATTGTGGAGCTCCCGACGGACAGTTTTGTTGGAAACAGGAGAGTTGAGGTGCACATTTAATTCTGCAGTGAGTTGGGCAGCTGTGGTTTTATGTTTTTTGGATACAATCTGGGTTCGCACCCAGACATTCTTTTCAGACAGCTTCCTCTTGTGTCCACAGTTACTCCTGTTGGATGTGGTTCATCCTTCTTGGTGGTATGCTGACATTACTCTGGATACCGTGGCTTTTGATACATCACAAAGACTTGCTGTCTTGGGGACAGATGCGCTAGCAGGATGTGCACCAACAATTTGTCCTCTTTTGAATTCTGATATGTCACGCATAATGTTGTGTGCATTGTAATATTTTAAGCAAAACTGTGCTATTTCTCTGCTCTTACTGATGCAATGTGCAATCAATGAAGTTTGGCCACCAAGCTGGTCAAATTTAGCCATGAAACCTCCTACACTAAATTGGCCAGTGTTTCAGTTTCATAATCCAACCCCGTATATGTATGTGTGTGTGTATACATATCTTACATATTATTTTCACCCTGCAACATTAAAAGCAGGCCATCATAAGGACCAACCAGAAAAATACAATTTTCATTTGGTTATTATGTATTTATGTGCAATGCAAAAAAGTAAATACAAAATAATCTTAATAAAAAAAGGTTGCATCAATACACACCTACCTACCAATTTTGCTGTCTGAGATTTTTTTTTTTAAATACATGTTGCTATTAAGCAAATTAAGCAAATTATTGAAGCTGGGCGAGAACATGTGAACCCATGAACACATGGGTGGGCAGTGGTTATGCGTGCAGGTTTGGCTTTAAAATCCCTGCAGCTTGTACTGGTTTGAACTCTGGGAATGTTCGGCAGTCTGCACGCTTGCACAATCAATGCTCTAGCTGAACAGGATTATGGATATACATGGATAATCATGTCTTCAATGTACTTTTTTTTTGGATTCTTGCTCTTAATGCAGTCACGTATGTCCTATCACTGTGTCCTATTTAAAAATAGAGACACTGGAGACACCTAATCAGTTCCATATGTTAATTCACTAGACTTTGGTTAATTCTAGTTGGTCAACTTCAAGCAAATTTTTTTACAGTGTACAATGTAAGTTACAAATATCTAAAAAGGTTACAAGTTACAAAGTTAGAAATATCTAAAGAAAATGCTTTTATTTGTATTTCCATTTTTGAGCATTGTTATCTGATCTTGTCCTGCTGTAGCAAACTTCTCCCACAGTGGTTTTTGTCCTTTTTTTTAGTATTCGGTGGGAAATGGCTTATCTGACTGGTCATTAGGAAATGCAATATTTGTTCAAAATTCAAAAAAATAAAATAAAATAAAATTTGAATGGTAAAATTAATATTTGCCATACTTAGTTCTATAGTTTACAACAGTAAATTGTTTTTATTTTAGAATTTAAATGTAGTCAACATAAGGAATATATATAAATATTTACATATATTTTAAATAGAAAATGTAAAAGTAAATAAATAAATGTAGGCAAGAAAATAAACGTTTGTATTGACTTAATTGTCACCTATGGATATGATTAATCAACAGCTAAGAATCAATAGAAAGTTTGATGGGTTCAAATTGAATAAATAAAATCAAATATTTTTCAAGTGTTTTTAATGTGTTTAAAAAAAAAAGTATTAGGACTGCAGAACCTACCAGAAGGGTAGTGTCTGACTTTTTAATTTTTAACAAAAAATAAATACATTTGAATATTCTTTTTAAATGAAGTTGAAGTAATGATTTGAAATCAATGAAAAAAAAAACTGCCATCAGAGTGGGCCAAAGAGATAAAATGACTTAAGTAGGGCTTTATGACTTCATCCAATAATAAGTGCACAAGAAGTGTGTGACAAATGGAAGCGTTAGGGCTCCAGCAGCTGGTAGGAAGCAAAGCTGGCTGATACCAGTTTAACTTTTTGATGAGGTAATGTCCTTTATTGCGCTAATCTTGTTTGCACATGAGCAAAGGGTTAAACAGTCAGTCACTTCTGAACCCTGAAACAAGCTGTTGTCCAAGGTGTAAACACTTACGTAATTTCTAGGTATAACAAAAATACAAAAATACAAATTTACGGAATAATCTAATTTCAGATAATATAGATTTGGTCTTAACTATGAGGGGAAGTGGATGAAGCCAGCAAGGATGCACACATGCAGAATGTGTGGTTGTATTGAAAAAAATTAATTGTAGCATTTTATTTAAAAAAAAAAAAAAAAAAAGCAAGACCTTTTAGTTAGATGCAGTGCGACACAAACACTCTCGCTCTTTTTCACAGTAGGACAGGGAACCACTGCTTGCAGATGTTACTGTGAAGTTACTAGTACAAGGTACCTTCTCTGTCATTTACTTATCAACAGGAGTTGCTTCAATTTTAAGTAACATTCAATAGTCCACAAAAATTAACAAAAGTAGAAGTTTGAATCTGTGGTCAATAGTGCACAGTGGATTATTCTTGTAATAATTATTTTCATGAATAAAAAGTAAAAAAAACCCCAAAAACTACAAACCACTGTGCAAGTAAAACATCTACCTATCATTAAATTATTTCCTTTATGATAGGTTAAGTACTGATCATCAAGGTTAAAATGCAAGATGTTTTTCCTAAAACAGCATTGAATTTTTAATTTCGCTTTTTTTTTTCACTCTGACTAACTGGAGAAGAAGTTAGCTGTGTTAAAAGGAAATGTAAACATTACCATTCTGAATGGCTTCATCTTTCCAGCGGGGGGAGCAATTTTCGGCTGGCTCTGAAATAATAGAAAGAGAAAGCGGGATAAAGCAGCGGTGAGACAGGGGTGCACTGTTCCTCAGAATTTTTCCCAATCATTTAACAGCTGAAACAACAGGAAGATATAAGTGGAACAACAACAAGAGAAACATCTGCTTCTACACAGCGTGTTGTTGTTGTCCTTTTATTTTTTCAGTGTGTGAGGTATTGGTATACCAGGTGGTTTAAACAGTGTCATCTAACAATAGTAAAAATACATACATGGTATCATCAATCTTAAAATCCTAAAAAAAAAAAATACTAATCTGAATCAAGATTGTCATTGCAAAATAATTATTTCACATCCACAAAACAATGTATTAAACATATAGGGAAAAAAAGTAGATTGAAAAAGGTTCATTATTGGTACTACAGTGGGGATTGAAAGTTTGGGCACCCCAGGTAAAAAATTGTATTATGTGCATAAAGAAGCCAAGGAAAGATGGAAAAATCTCCAAAAGGCATCAAACTGGTGAGACATTCTTATAATATGTCAAAAAAGTTAGATTTTATTCCCATCATTTATACTTTCAAAATAACAGAAAACTAAATAATGGCGTCTGCAAAAGTTTGGGCACCCTGCAGAGTTAATACCTTGTACTGCCCCTTTTAGCAAGTATGACAGCTTGTAAACACTTGTTTGAGGTATCTTCACTCATTCTTCCTTACAAAAGTCTACCAGTTCTTTCAGATTTCTGGGCTGTCTGTTACTCACTGCTCTTTAAGGTCTATCCATAGATGTTCAGTCATGTTGAGGTCAGAAGATTGTGAAGGCCGTGGCAAAACCTTCAGTTTACGCTTCTTGATATAATCCACCGTGGATTTTGAGTTGTGTTTAGGATCATTATCCATTTGTAGAAGCCATACTCTCTTTAACTTTTATTTATTTTTCCTTCTACTTGTGAAATGTTCCCTGTGCCACTGCCTGCAATACAACCCCCAAGTATGATCCACCCCCATGCTTAACAGTTGAACAGAGGTCCTTTACATTAAATCCTGTGCCCTTTCTTCTCCAAATGTAACATTGCTCATTCTGGCCAAAAAGTTCTATTTTAACCTCATCGGTCCACAGAACTAGTTTTCAGAATGCATCAGGCTTGTCTATATGTTTATTTGCAAACTCAATCAAATGCTGATTTTTGTGGTGAAGATGTAGAGGGTTTACTTCTGATGACTCTTCCATGAAGACCATATTTGTACGAGTATCTCTTTATAGTGGAATGTAACACAACTTCAGTGTCTGCCAGATCCATCTGGAGGGATCATGCAGTCAAAGGTGGGTTTTGACTTGCTTTTCTCACAGTCCTGCAGGCTGTTCTGTCTGATATTTTTCTTCGTCTTCCAGATCTTGCTTTAACTTCCACTGTTCCTGATGATTGCCATTTTTTAATCACATTCCGAACAGAGGATATTGGCATCTGAAAACGCTTTGCTATCTTCTTACATCCTTCTCCTGCTTTGTGAGCGTCAACTATTTTCAGTTTCAGTGTTCTAGACAACTGCGTAGTAGAACCCATGGCGCTGATTGTTGAGGCAAGGTCAGATGAGTCTGGGCATTTCAAACCTTTGAGATTTACATCACCTGGTTTGTAAGACCAGACCATGATTGTGAACAATCCATGACACTGTCAGGTCTCAGCTTTCCAAAGGGGGTGGTGCATGCTATTAACTCTGCAGGGTGCCCAAATTTTGCAGATGCCATTATTTTGTTTTCTGTTATTTTGAAAGTGTAACTGATGGAAATAAAATCTAACTTTTTTGACATGAATGAATGTCTCATCTGTAATTAGATGCTTTTTAGAGATTTTTCCATCTTTCCTAGGCTTCTTTATTCACATTAATACAATTTCCCAAAATTGTGCCCAAACTTTCGATCCCCACTGCACATACGTTGTAGTACAGGCATAGCCAAACTAAGGCCCAGGGGCTGAGCACGGCCTGTTCAGCTTTTTGATCTGGCCTACCAAACTTTTCCAAATTATATAATTTGTTTATATTATTATTATACTTCTGCCTTTTGCCTGCAATACCCAAATTTTGGATGTAATGAACGTAACACAGCATATTATTCAATGCTGTAAATGTTAAACAAGAGACTGGCAAAAAAATGACTGGTTGAAGGAGGTGTGACATGTATATCTGATAATAATATTGCAAAGGAGGAGGTTATTTTGATTTTGTTTTTGCATTTAGACGTTTGATCGCAGTAGTAGCAGCCCCTGCAGCTCCTGCCAACCGACCAAAGACACATTTAAAATGTGTGAAATAAACGTGTCTGAAAACAAAAACAATATGTGTGTCCTGTTGTTTATTATGAACCAAAGGGGGGGCCAGGAGAGAAAGTTTGGGAACACTGTATTAGGGCTACATTCAGGATAAAAAATTAGGGAAGTCCAATAATATCAGCCGGCCTGATATGCAATAATAAAAACCCAATAAGTTATTTCAATTTATTTCCATAGGAGAGATGTTTGGTTGTTTGATTTTTTGATGAAGGCAATGTGGCTTACCTGACATACTGGTGGGCTTCAAGGCCAAGGTGTCATCCTCAGAGCCTCCTCAGACATCTGGGTGCATACCTAACTAAAAACCAGAATCAGAATAAAAACGTTGTCTATATTGTATATGAGAATACTTCATGCAATTTATACCTAGCCTATTACAATAGTGTAATTGTTAAAACATAAAGCACTTGTGGTGGAAGACATGAACAAGAACCAAGAGCGCATTAAAATGTGAAATCATCCTTCCACTGCAACAAAAGCAAGTACAGCATTAAATAATTCTCAACTATTCTATATAAACAGTGGTGTCTAGTGAAATCTTTTCTAGGCGCGCCATGAAATTGGAATTATTTAATGCCAGATGCCACTTCTTCAAGTATTTGATGGTTTCAAAATAGCCAAATAGTGTTCATTCTAAAATTGTGAGCAAATAATTGCCAAAAACACCCAACGTAAAAGATATCTTGTAAACAAAACTGTGTGGATAGCTTTTTTTAATTTTGTTATAATATTTCATAAAAACCTCAGTTCCAATTTTAGATTTTGTGGGTATGTTTTATATGTAAGGATTTACAGAGTCAATATAATCCAGATTTAAATTCAAAAGTGTCAAAGTACAAGGAATGAGAGGTGAAATGTCTTAAAAACCCTAGCCAGTACAGCTGTTTAATTTTAAACTTTTTTGATGTACAGTAAGTTTTAATGTTTTTTGGGGAACAATGTAGAAGAAAGTCTAATTCCCAGTAAACATCTCCCTTCCTTCGATACGATCACTAATGTAAGCACCACGTTGCTCCACACAAATTCCTCTAGCGGGCCGGATTGAACCCCCTAGTGCAGGCCTCAAGATTGACACCCCAGGTTCAAAGTGTCACTCAAAAACTGGTTGCTTTATGGTTATTTTACTCTGTACTGCTGTTAGTCATTTAAGTGTGTTTTTCTATTAAGTTCCTGGCCATTTTAAAGACTGTTTCGGTGCTGAAAACCAAAATGGGGCTTAAAGTTCATCATGGTTCACAGAGATAATGGGTGTAAATTGTTGTGTTTGTTTGGCTGACATTCATTGTAATTCAGCAGAGTGCCCAGGTATCTTTATACAGTATATATAAGAAATGAATGTCTTTCAATTTGCACTCTCACTTTCAAAAATCAACCTTGCTTTGTACCATTTTTATTTATTTCAAAAAGCATGTAGTTGGCTAGAATCATTTAAATGTATTATATTTACCCTTTTCTCTTTATCTCATAAATCTAAAGGATATAGATAGAATACAGTGGAACCTCAAGATACGAGCGTACAGACATTCGAGTATTCCGAGATAGGAGCAAGCCTTCGAGCAAATTTTTGCTTGGAGATACAAGCACGGGTACAGGTGCCGATGCTAGGTGGCCGAGCACTCGGAGCAGACCAAGCCGCCTCACGTGTTTGTCGCCTTCCGTATGCATTTTCCGCGAGTCTTCTGTATTGTCTTTGTGTTATCTACGATTTTCTCTCTATTTTGAGCATTATTCTTAGTGATGAGTCCTAAGAAAGTGAGTGGTAAGGAAGAAACACATGATGATCATGAAATTGTCGATAAGTATGAGCGTGGTACCCGCGAAAGACAGAATACAAATCGAAAAAAGTTATCTAAGGTAAAGTATAGAATCAAGTGTCTATGTACGGTCCAACTCCCTTCCCTCCCTCCTCCTCCTCCGCACATGCCGCCAATACTGTATCGTCTGTCTTAAATGTAAGAACTCATAATGAAAAAATACATTTTATTTTATATCACAGGAATCCTTATATACTATAATCTTTTGTGTGTATGTCTCTATAGCAATTAAAAACATGTTTTTTCCATTGTTACTAGCACTTATAAAGGGCCGGGTTTTTTTTAGAGGGATTAATTTATTTTTTGTTATTTCTTATGGAAAAAAATATTTGAGTTACGATCCAGGAACGGATTATGGACGTATCTCGAAATTCCACTGTAGTTGGTTTTATGTTAGTTGGCAGATTGGCGGCTTAGACTTTTAGACTTACAGCTAAGCCTAATGTAAGTCTAACCTCAGCAACCAACTCCATCTCAAATGTTAATGCGATTAATGTGTTACAGTTAGGGATGTCACAATTTTTAATTTCCTTGGTACAAATACAGTTCAATAATTTATCACAATATTATGCTTATCATGATTATGTTAATTGACATTCACAATACTATAAATGTGTAAAATCACATGAGCGCTACTTGTGGGTATTAAAGTTTCCCTCATTTCTATCCGCTGTCACTGTGAAATTATATATTTTAATATATAAGTCGCACCTGAGTATAAGTTGCAAATCCAGACAAAATATGAAAAAGTGCGATTTATAGTCCAGAAAATACGGTCGTTATTTCTGTCAAAAGCATTACTGTATCCCCACGCAGCAGTTTGCTAATGGGTTTATGTGGTTACACTGAAATGTACACTGTAATTAGATCTCCTAAATTAAACTATTACAAAAACATTTGTTTAAGCCAGTTGAAGGCCTTATACATGTGTACGTTACGTCCACAATCGGGTAATACCACCACAACCATTTTAAGCCAGGAAAACCTCCTGTGTAACAACAGAAAAGGTCAGTAAAGTACAGCTACATTACAGACCTCTGGAGGTGAATCTTGGAGAAAAGGGTAAAAATTGCCGGGCTCCAAAGAACCATGCCACCAAGACTCGATGATCCTTGAAGGTTTGGACCTCCTCTATCGCTTTGAGCACCATCAGCCCAAGAACTTTCCCAGGCCAATGTCAGGGGTGTCTAGAATATGAACACAAGGAGAAGGAATGACACCTTTTTATTCCTATTTTTAAGACCTCACACACCAACAAAAACACAAAATAAATTACTACACACAGATTATATACATCACACTTTAGAATGGAACATATTTCGTAAGTCATAGAACATATGAATCGTCAAAAATTGTCTTTGACAACACCTTTTGTCAATAATCTAGATTTGATGTTATTTATTGATGTTAACTTTGTCTAATGTAGGGACATCCACAGACCCGTTTAGGACTCTTACTCCCATAATTCTACTTCTTCCGGAGGAACCCACCAATGTCACAATCAGTATAAATAAAAAATATGATTATTTTGTGAAGCCACCCAATTTGAAAGAATTCCAAAAACCTTCAAATATTCTGGTTGTTTGTTAAAGCTATAAATTGTAGTATATATTTAATACAGTAAGTACAACAACATTATTGTTGTAATAATAGTATAACATAACAATTAATATCATTTTAATAAGATTGATTTTTGTTATTGATTTACGAGACTGATCAATAAAACCAAATGCACCTAAACAGCACTTGGCCCATTGCACCTACACTAAACAGCCTTCTTCAGGGAACTTATTTGTTCATGCAAAGAAGTACAAGTTTATTATAAAATATTAATATTAGATGAAATATAATTTGACAAAACATCACTAACATAAAGTGTTCGTGCATTTTTTTTTCACTTTCAAAATTCATCAAGTGGGCCAGATTAAACCAACCAGCGGGCCGGTTTTTGGCCCGTGGGCCGTATGTTTGAAACCACTGTCTTGATATATCACACCTTTCATGTTTTTAAATAACTCATTATAATAATACACAAACCCCATTACTTATATAGACACACAGACTCATTGTAATATTTATATTAAAAAATTAAATTTGAGATAAAAGCCTTAAACCTGTTTAAATAATTTGTTGCATTATTATAATAATATATACTGTAATTTCTAGACTATTGAGCGCACCTGAATATAAGTTAACATAAAAACAATAAAATAATACATATTTTATGTACATATATAGACCGCATTTCTCTATAAGCCACAGGTGTCCACGTTGTAACATGGGATATTTACACAGAGAAATGTTACACAGAACGATTTTTTACACTATTTTGTTTAATTTTTATTAAATAAATGGTTTTTTTCCAAACAGTGCCTGTAACACGGCTGGTTACACGTTAGCTCTTTCCTCCTTCGGTGTTCCAACTGTAGTTGGAATGCACAGGGAAGACTTAGTGATCTGCTCCAGGGCTAACTCCCTTCACTTTGTGCTTGTCCGCAGCAGAGGTAAACAAAAACAGGGAAGTTGGGGTCTTTATTATTAGCCACATTGAGCACAACGGAACATAAACAGAGTTTTAACAGCTCCTGTATAACCAACTCACACTTCAACATGACAGAGCTCAAACTGCTCTCAACTTTCACTACCGTTCTCTCTCGCGCGCACGCCCCATACACGTATACGCGCACAGAGCCATTCACAGACAGACATACGCTACTAATATAACATAGTAGCATACCAGAAAAGTCATGAATCGCTAGCTGCGTTAGTCCATACAAATCCATAAATTACCCGCATCATTGTTTAAGCCGCAGGGTTCAATATTCTGTGAATTTTGACTATGCAAATACATTTTACTTTACTAGATTTTTTTAAATAATAAGAACCTGTGGCATCCTATTAAAACAGTGGTTTGGGAAGAGGTTCCCAAAGTGGAGCGTGTGCCCCCAAGGGGGGCTTAGATGAAATTAACAAATGAAACGTAATGCAGAATATCGTCCAATGTTGTAGATGTTTAACAGCAGACTGGCAAAAACTGATTGGTTGAAGGGGTAAAATGAATATGTGATAATCATATGCAAAGGAGGCCATTATTTTAAATTCTCGCTCTTGGTTTTGCTTTTGCTTGTTCCATCTGCTCAGAGCAGCAATAGCAGCCCCGTGCAGCGTGCCACCCGCTCCTCCCCACATGCAAAAACTCAACCCAACTGGCCAAAGTTGGCAATGCTAGCATAAAATGGACAAGTTTAAGGTGCTTAATAACAGTTGCATTTAAAATGTGTGAAATAAGCAAGTCTGAAAACAAAAATGTGTGTCCTCTTTTTTTTTTTTGGTGGTAGGAGAGAACATATTCTTATGGACATATACATATATACATATACATATATACATATATAGGTATATACACACACACACACACACGCACACACACACACACACACACAGGGCGGTTGGTACCTTCCAGTGGACTCACCACCCGCAGGAAGGTTTAGGTACGGTGCAATGTGATTTGGGTGGCGACTGCTGCCCCCGCAACCCGGTAATGGATAAGCGGATTAAAATGGATGGATGGATGGATAGAAGATATTTTATTTGAAAGCTGTCATATGACGCAGTGTAGTGTGTTCTCTTTAAACTATTAATTTGTATTCGATTGTTCATGCTTACTTCCGCGAGTGAAGCGTGGTCCGTAAAAAAAGTATAAGAAGTAACAAACAGTGAATAAAGAAAGACGTTCATATAGAAGCTGCTTGTGTCGCTTTGATGTTATTTATTTATTTATTTTACATACGTTATACGTCCCGCTACGTGGGCACAAGATACAGGAGCCTGGCGGGTTGTGCAGGTGTAGCTGCGCACCGATACGGACAGTATGGTCAAATACGCTTCATATGTTTGTATATATATTCAGACTTTTTGTATATATATTCAGACTTTTTGTATATATATTCAGGATTTTTTTATATATATTCCGGATTTTTGTATTTATATTCAGACTTTCTGCACAAAGTCTGAATATATATACAGAAATTCGAAGCGTATATGACCACACCACCCTTATCGGGGTGGAGCTACGCCTGCTACCACCGCGGGCAAGGCTCCTGTGTCTAGTGGCCACGTAGCGGGGCATAAAAAGTATTAAAAAATAACAGCAATGCCAGGCAAGCAGCTTCGATATAAACGTCTTTATTTATTCACTCTTCGCTGCTTTTCTTCTCCCCTTTTCGCTCTCTCTCTCTCTCTCTTTTTTTTACGGACTACTAAGATCTCCTAAGAAATAATGACCAATCCGGTACAGAACAACACATTTTCCGCGAGTCGACAAGGAACTTGTGAACAAATCAATATTTTAAAGACAACACAGTACACTACGTCATATGATATCAAACAAAATATCTTCAAATAAAAGTTAACATAAATCACTCTTTGCATTACTGTTGCTCTTTTCCTTTCTGGGAGACGTACGTAATGATCGTCGCACAATGGACAGCGTTATGAAATAATAACATATAGAAATAATATATTTCCAAACAAGTATTTATAACGAATTATAACAAATTTTATCACCCTTGACAGTAGTAACACTTATAACTATACATATTACATATACATATTACATATTACTGGAGAAGTAACAGGATTTTTTTTATTGCCAATGGCATGTATTATTTTTCCTTGTACCTTAAGTCTTCTGGTATTAAGTCTTCAGCAACTCCATGAGATACATTCTATTTGTATCATATTTCTGTTAGGATAAGGTTTTCTCTCATTTCTGGAACTATTGAATCTTGTAAACCTAACATTTTGCTTCGGTATCAGGTGTAACTTGGAGTCAAATGTTCTCTTTCACCAGACAACAAACATCACCGCTGTCTGTGACTTGGAAATTAGATGAGAGATTATTAATACAAATGTTCCCTGGTGGAGTTTCACCTTGCATAGGTCTTTTGTTGTGTCTTGCTATCCTAACAGACTATGACCTAGAATATTTATTTTCTTTTGTCTGTGACTATTGGGCAGTTTTGGGCATATATATATGTGTGTGTGTGTATATATATATATATATATATATATATATATACACACACACACACATATATATATGCCCAAAACTGCCCAATAGTCACAGACAAAAGAAAATAAATATTCTAGGTCATAGTCTGTTAGGATAGCAAGACACAACAAAAGACCTATGCAAGGTGAAACTCCACCAGGGAACATTTGTATTAATAATCTCTCATCTAATTTCCAAGTCACAGACAGCGGTGATGTTTGTTGTCTGGTGAAAGAGAACATTTGACTCCAAGTTACACCTGATACCGAAGCAAAATGTTAGGTTTACAAGATTCAATAGTTCCAGAAATGAGAGAAAACCTTATCCTAACAGAAATATGATACAAATAGAATGTATCTCATGGAGTTGCTGAAGACTTAATACCAGAAGACTTAAGGTACAAGGAAAAATAATACATGCCATTGGCAATAAAAAAAATCCTGTTACTTCTCCAGTAATATGTAATATGTATATGTAATATGTATAGTTATAAGTGTTACTACTGTGTAAAGCCAGTGGTTCCCAAATTTTCTCTGCTGGGTCCCCTTTGTTTCTTGAGAAAATCTCCTCCCCCCCCAAAAAAAACAAAAAACAACATGTTTTAAAATAACGGCCTCCTTCGCAATATTATTATCAGATATTCATCTTGCAATCTTCAACTAATCAGTTTTTTTTTTGCCAGTCTCTTGTTAAACATTTGCAGCATTGGATAACATGCTGCATTACATTTCATTTATTAGTTCCATTCGCGTTCCATTTTTTGCTTTTTCTAAAGGTGTGCTTGCTGTCAACTTGTACAGCTTGTTTGCAATTATAACTACTGATCTGTCAGTGGAAGCAATCTGGGTATAAGAATGGATGCAGACGATAGTTTACTAGAAAATGTCTTTCTTTTGTTGAACTCTTGGGCATTGTGTTACAGCGTGTGTCCTATTTTCTCCTGCACCGTGAAACACGCACTGATTTAAACTCATATTTAAACCATGTTGTGGCCATGGTTATTGCACTTCTCTACTAGCAAACATAATTCCACCACCGCAGCTGCTACCACATCCTGCAAGACGAGGTGCGAGAACACTATGTACTACTGTACATAAGTGCAGCACACAAAACAAAGTGGAATGTTTAATAAAAAATATATAACCACACCCAGAACAAACATACAGTATCACCGGTATTGCCCTGTGTGACAGGGTTTATGTAACATTACAGTCATTACACAATTAAAATAGCTTGGCCTGTTTTCTCAGTGAGTCAGTCAGTGACAAGTATATTGTTTTTCTAGTAAAGTGTTTATTTTTTTTAACAAAGTATAAACAGACAAACAATTAACAGATAATTGCTTTTTGCCACATTGTATTTTTAGTGACATTTTAACAGAACCATAATTTCCAGACTATTGAACGCACCTGAATATTGGCCACACCCACTAAATTTAAAGAGCTAAAAAATAATTGTACATATGTAGGTCACATTTCTCTATAAGACGCAGGTGTCTGCGTTGTAACATAGGGTATTTACACAGAAAGATGTTACAAAGAAAGATTTTCTTTTTTAGTTAATTAATTAATTAAAATAATTTTCTGAACAGTGCCTGTAACACGGCTGGTTACATGCTCCGGGGCTAACTGCCTTTACTATGTGCTTTTCCGAAGCAGAGGTATGAGCAGAGGTTATGAACTTCGTTAGCCCATTAAAATCCATAAATTAGCCGCATCATTGTTGCAGCTACAGGGTTGCAAAGTAAATGAAAAAAATAGCGGCTTATAAACCAGAAATTACTTTATGTAATGTACCATACACTACATAAAGTAATTAAATAATAATAAATAAATCTATCTATCTATCTATCTATCTATCTATCTATCTATCTATCTATCCAAAGCAGGGGTGTCAAACATACAGCAAGTGGGCCAACCTGTCAGCTAGGGGGTTAAATCTTCTTGATGAGTTTTTGAAAAAAAAAAAAACACATTATGTTTGGTGATTTTCATCAAATTATATTTCATTAAAAATTAATATTCTCTAATATACTTGTACTTATTTGTGGGAAAACAAAGGAGGTGGCACAGTATTGTATTTATAGGTAATATATATTTATATTTATTATATTTATAGGTAATTATGATGTTATTGTACTGGTCTTGGCCACTTAACATTTATTCCTAACTTTCCCGAACGGAACTCCCGAGATTAAAGTTCTTACTTTCTTTCTTTCCTTCTTTCTTCCATTGTTTCTATCTATCTATCTATCTATCTATCTATCTATCTATCTATCTATCTATCTATCTATCTATCGAAGTGTATTGCTATTGGACCCACCATTTTTTTTTTATTATACTATTCAACATCATGCATCAACAGTTACATGCATCAAAAACAATAGTCAATGGCTTGGATGACATGCTTCTTATTTTGGATGGCATTCTGATAAGACTCTTGAATAATCAAGAATAAAGAATCTGGATCAGCTAGGCACCATGGGCACAATGAAATTTGACACAGGCTACGCACATTGCAAACTGGTATCACAACAAAGGCAGCAGATGTTGTTTTCATTTAAGAAATCAAGCTGGTAGAAGAATCAACCCAATGGCTCTGTTTGGTAGTGCACTTATTATATTACATTAAGTTCTCCAGCTGCCAGGAGGCCCAAGGAAAACACGGTATGGCCGAGACGACTGAAACACACAATATCCAGTGGCACTGTGTCCTCATTGAGCTGTACACAGGCATGAACATGATTCCACACTTGAAACCCAGAGCTGTGAAAATATCACATTTAGGGGTTTTATGACCAGTAATCCATTGACTGCACTGCTATTATAAAATACGAGAGAACACAAGCATGGTGCGTAGCAAATGGCCAACAGCTGGTACTAACAATCACCTGCAGACACATTTACTGTCACCAGTTATTATCATCACTTTTCAACTTATACACATTTTCATTTTTATTCAGACATTCTGCCCGGGCTTTATTTATTTTCTTAAGGCACTAAGGTGTATCCTGCATTTATTATCGTAAGCTTGATAAGTATTTCAAACCAGTCTGATCAGTACTTCAAACGCTCTGTTTCAGTGCCTTAATGTCAGATTCGTGCTCGTAGGTCATTTGAAACATTCACTGTTCAACCATTTTAGTTTCTTTTCAGACTGCATTTTCTCAAACCAATTATGCAGCCACGTGCAGCTGTTACGCATTGCGCCTATAGGACTCAACACTGCCCGCCATGAACCTCACTGCCCCCTAGCATTGCGGAGGGTACTTTTTTCCTCATCCAGCACCTTTTCTTTGTGCGTTCAAGACTGATCAGAAAGACTAATTATGTCACATACATTTATTAAATATATAAGATAGACTATGGAACTCAGCATGCCCTTGTTTGCCCACTCACTCGCCTCATCTCAAGTGGTTACAAAAAAAGAAACAGCCCAGTTTCCCTCGATGTAACTGCTTTGGATAAGATGACCTGGATGAATGAGAACTTACATAGACATGGTAACAAGAGTGCATGTAAAAAGCAGGGGTGGCAGAGAAGTATTTGATGGTGGTAAAGAATCCCAAGAAAGAATCAACAAGAAAAAGGAAACACAACAAATTGGCATGCCCACCTAAAATGAAACCACCTGACCGTTTTCCCAGCTGCACCTTGAGATGCAGAGCCTTCAGTCAACATTCACTTTCAAAGCTGCATATATTGTGCTTCTTGTCCTAACATTTTAGCATGAACTGTAATGTCACACTTAAAATTGAAGCACAATTAAAATAAAACAATCGGATATAAACAATGTGGTGCATAATGTGTCAGTCTGTCAAATTTCATCTGACAGACTTCGATAGAGATATTTTTTCAAACCTCAAAACTCAAGTAAATACAGGAGGAAGAAATATCTCACCAAAGAACTATTTTTGTTTGACTCCAGGCAACACTGAGTGGCCACAGAACTCCTGTGAGAAACTCCTATGAAAAAAAACAAGAAAACAAAAAGCACATTAAATGCACATCAATGAAGTTACGCCTCACATACCCCCAAGACAAAAATACATTGGAATTAACAAAGCAAATATATGGTCCTATTAGTAATTACAACTGTGGTTATGTAGAGCTGGCAAAGGTTGTTAAAATGTAAACGATGCAGTGAGTAACCTTTAATCTTTCAAAAATAATGACAGACATATTATGGCTGTCCAAACATTTAAGTAACAAAACAAATAACACAATCATAAAGATTGGCAAATAATTAATGATTGGTACTGAAATTTGACCTAGAATGTTTTCTTGTTAAAAGTAGCTGATTTCTCTTAGTTAAATCTCTTAGTCTCTTAGTTAAATCTTCAGTACATCTGACATCAACATGGGTGATCAACCTGGGAACGTGGCACAGGTTTGGCTGTAAATACATGACAAATTCACTAAGGCAATCAAAGAATTTAAGGTTTTCTTAAATGTAAAAACTTGGCAACAAAATATCAATGCAAAAAACCCATCCTATCTGAGCATGGCTTAAAAGCAATTCATTTGTCGCCCCAAGCCCAGTCTCTCTGTGACAGCGTGAATAGCACTGATGCACCGTTTCATGTGCTCAGCTCTGTACCCCTGCCACAAGGGGTCACTGGTGTAACAGTCAACAGCCTTGTGTATAAAATGTGTAACTATAATTAAGAAATGTTTTTAAAATTTCAGTTTCAAATGCATAACTTTTGTTTGTGTAATATGCTGTTTACTTTACAGTACTAGCATTTAAAATTTGCTAACTCACACTGCCACTGTAATATAGAAATGCATTTACTTCATTTAGATATTGCCTAATTTTATTTATTTGTCCTCTTTGTAGTAGGTAACAACAACAACAACAGCCTTGTAATATAGAATGATGCTAATAGTAAATGGCTTCTTTAAGATCAAAATACCAATAAACAGGACACAAGAAATTAAGGAATAGCTTGGCGACATTTGTCTGAATATTTAACTTTTTAGATCTTCCAGCATTTTACAGTTTTTAGTATTTCTGCAGTCTTTTCTTTCCTTCTCTACTCCCTGTACTGCACTTGCATCTGTATCTATCCCTACTTCTCTGTCTCTCTTTCTTTCCCTCACTCGACACAGCTTACTGCAGTATCCTTAAAAGTCCCCTGCATGTGTCCTTAGTTGTCCTCTCTTACCCGGCATGCACTGCAGCAGATCTGGGGCTGTGTTGGCTCAGAAACAGGCATGCGCTTTTGATGTCGGGGGTAAAGAAGAAGGAAAAGGGAGGGAGGGGGGGGTTCTTTATGTATTGCTTCCAGTGGCTTTCCATCGCACCATCGTCAACGTAAAAAAAACCTCATGTTTTATTCCTGCCCTGAAATCCCTGCCTCCAGGTGGCTAAAAACAGTCATAATACTTGTATAAATGCAAATAGTCTGTGAACCGGTGTGTTGTCCTGATGTGACCCACACATTGATCACACAAAGTCTCAACTGTCAGTCAGCGGATAAGGAGAGGAGTATTGAAAAAGAGTTTGAGGCTTTAGACTTAAGGGATTTTTTTCTTCAGCTTTGAATCACAAAATTCACATATATCCTTGCAATACAGTATTATATGTCATCAGAGACAAAGCTGCCTATGCACATATATTCTTTATAGTGTATGAGTGTATAGACTCGACAGTAACACTGCTCTGCAAAGTTTGTCTTTAAATTTGCTGTGTATGATCCTTCTCACTGATTAACCCCGGTTTATGACTGTAGTAAAAATGCTATGAATCATGATCATAAATTTTCCTACTTCACACCAAACAAGTTATCTATTTACAGTAAAAATAAATAGATGTGTGCCTTTCTCTCTTTCACTCTCCATTGTTTCTTCTTTCCCTCTGTCTTGTGGTCTCTTTATCTTGTGCAAAGCGAGTTAGAATAATAAAAAAAAACTTTTCTTTTTTTGCTCCGTTTCCTCCTTCCTCTCTAAATTGAGCACATTATTAGAACAACATTATAGAAACAATTCCTATGTATATCTTCCTTTGAGATCTGCTCTGTTATGCTTGTGAAGTCAGGAGTACTTTATGAATGACCAATAATCTGAAAATGTACTCAGAGGTTGAATGATACATTGTGTATACCAGAGTTTATCAAGGGGGTTGGGGGGCGGGGCGTGACCCATGGGGAGGTGGGGGGTGCAGTGCCATTGCAGGGGTGGTGGTGTGGTTGATGGAATGAATGACTGAAATGTAACACAGCATAGTGTCCAGTGCTATGAATGGTTAATCACAGACTGGCAAAAAACTTAGATTGGTTAAAGGCGGTGTACAATTAATAATGATAATAATAATTAAAAATAATACAGCAAAGGAGGGTATTATTTTTTAATTCTCACTCTTGATTTTTGCTGTTGCCCATTTTGACAGGACTCCCACGTAAACACAAAGCAGAGGATGAAACGTCGGTGTGTCCTGTTGTTTTTTTTGGGGGGGGGGAGGGGCTGGGGAGCACCAACATTTTCTTATGAACCAAAAGGTAGGTTATCACAATTTAGAAGATGCTCAACAACAACTCGGAGACTCTGAGTTGTGTTTTTGTATTGTCGATGTATGGTGCGATGCAGGACAACTCAGACGCACGGCTGTCGATTTTTTATTTCTCCTTTTTTATTTCTCGCACTTCCGCATGGAACAGCGTCAAAATAACAATAACGGTAACCACCCAGAACAAAAATAGTGACAACCGCCTGATTCTGGAGGGGCAAACATCAGCGCCCTCCTTGTGTCCAACTTAGGTCACTACCCTTTTTCATAAATCTCCTTCCCTATTGATCTGCGACTCCATGCGTGCCCATCTCACCGATATTGTCAAAACCTAAGTGAAGCAAACTAATTCGGGGCTTGCCATCATTCCGGGTGGATTGACCACAGAGTTCAAAGTTAAATTGCGAGCTGTGTGGGAGCATTGGATAACTGAAGGCGAACACACATTCACCAAGACAGGGAGGCAACGCCGGAAGTTACCGTCCGTATGAGACAGCTTCTGGGCCCGCCTGTTAGTGACCCCTGCTCTAGACAATCTCTTGCAATTTGCTCCCACCACATGGTTAATCCACAGCATCACCTACCCCATCTTGTTTTCCAACACCATCACCACTGCAAACATGAAGCACTGTCTCTTAAAAGAGTCAGCTTTTGGAAAGATCCCGCTTTTAGGCAGAATAAATTAATTATTAACAAAAATAATTTAAAAAATGTGTTTAAGATACTATACAAAAAAAGTACATATTTGTTTAAAGAATCAATCTATTATTGCATGTAAATCTATAAACTCTAACTACCGCTTTTTCTGGAATATAAGTCGCTTCGGAGTGTAAGTCGCACCAGCCAAAACTGCATAATGAAGAAGAAAAAACATACCGTATTTTTTAGACCATAAGGCGCACTGGATTATAAGGCGGAATTATCAATGACGGGGTCTATTTTCATACATAAGGCACACTGCAATATAACGCGCATTAAGCAAAACAAAACAGTAACTAAAACAATTAGGCGGCGCAATCAAGCATTCCCAGATCCCTCTCGTCATTATCCGAGTCAGCCTCGTCGCTGTTAATTAGTTGTTCAGTGAATATTCCGGCCTTTGTGGAAGCTTGGACGACATTTGAGACAGATAACTTAGCCCAGGCATCTACGATGCATTAGCAGATAGCGGCGTAACTCGTCCGGCGTTGCCTCCCTGTCTTGGTGAATGTGTGTGCGAACACACATTCACTTCTGTCATCCAATGCTCCCACGCAGCTCGCAATTTAACTTTGTAAGCCCTGTTAACACCAATATTTAGCGGTTGGAAATCTGTGGTTAATCAACCTGGAATGATGGCAAGCCCCGAATTAGTTTGCTTCTTGGGTTTTGACATTATCGGTGAGATGGGCGCGCATAGAGTCGCAGATCAATAGGGACGGAGATTTGTGGGAAAGTGTAATGACCTAAGTTGGACACAGGAGGACCCTGTTGTTGCTGTTCGCCCCTCCAGAGTTAGGCGATAGTCACTATTTTTGTTTTGGATGGGCACAGTATTGTTGATTTGATGCCGTGCGGAAGTGCAGATGTTGTTTTGCAGAGAGAATGTGTGTTTTGCCTTCATCGATAAAAAAGGAGAAATCCTGCAAAAAGTGAGTCGTCCTGCATCGCACCATACATACCCATACAACACAAAAACACAAGACAGAGTCTCCGGGTGTTGGGGGGTACGATGCGACGTTGCACGGATTTGGGTTACACAACCATACTGTAACAATTGTTGTTGAGCATCTTCTAATGGTGATAACAGAGTGAAACGTCATTGTTGGCTCCCAGTGTGTTTCAGTTGTGTGCCATCATGTGTGATGCGCTGTGTAGTTTGGCTTTATAAAATTGGTTCGATGTCAGTAAGCACAACCAGAATTAATACATAAAGCACACCGGATTATAGGGCGCACTGTCGATTTTTGAGAAAATTAAAGGATTTTAAGTGCGAAATTATATATATTAATATTTAAATTGCACCTGAAAATACGTCGCAAACCCGAAGGACTTTATATGTAAAGTAAAAAAGAAAAAATATTTCTATTATTTATATGACTTTAACTTAATATGAAAATTCAACTTAATATGAGTTCTACAAAATAATGTTTAAGATACAAAATCAAATGCCAATCTTAATTTGACACAAGAACCGGTATCTTACTGTATCTTTTTACCAAGATGCATCTAATCCCAAAACAAAATAAAAAAAGGTTAAACAAAAAACAAATCAATCAAATTAGCATCCATTTTGCATTTCCTGCTCTTACTAACTTTTCCTGCGGCGTTTTGTCTTTGCAAGGACTGCGATCGTCTCCTTTATGATTCTTTCTGTGTGGGCTGCGCTGCCTGTAAACTACGGGAGCAGTTACAGCTCTCAGGAACAAAGCGACGTACATTGCTCACATCTACGTGCTGTTTTATTCAAGACCAAAAT